CTGAGGCAGGTTCTCCTTTTTTTTCCCATCTGAAACAGTGATTTTTGCACCCTTGGACACAGTTTCCTCTGGTTCAGGTCCCACTCGTGGCACTCCCACCTGAGCTGTAGGGCCCCAGCCTAGGTCTGGAGGAAGGGCTGGGTGTGAGTGTGCAGAAGAGAAGACAACTGCCTTCTCAGGTCTCTCAGAGAGCCTTGCAGAGTGAACAGGGAAAATTGTTTGTCCGTGTGACTTTTGAAGAGCACAGGAAGATAAAAGCTTGAGCTGGGGAATGGGAGGTTTGTGTCAGACAGGAGCTTCCTCTCTCTGCAAGTCAATCATGCAGAGGAGGTTGGAAGCTCCACTCCAGAAGGTTTTTGGACAAATGTCTGTGGTTTGAGAGCCCTGACATGGAGAAGGGGCACAGGCTGCTTTGTTTGCTCTGTCTTACTCAGTATGGTGGTGAAAAGAGTGTAGTGACTTCACCCCACCCCCCATACAACAGAACTGTGTCCTTTCCCCTCTGAAAACTTAGAAGAGATCAAAACAAAGAGCAGCTTCAGCAAGATCAATGTAGGAAAGCCATAAGCATGACAAGGCAGAAAAAAAACCACCCTAAACCCCTGAGTTTCTACATTTGATGAGTTCAGAGGAGCCTCACATTTCAGACTTCCAAGATGGTCCAGCAAGTGATCTTTCCTGAACACTTCACTTACTCCAAGTATTCCAAAATATTTCAGCCTGGACAGGATGGAATGGAGCTTTTTCTCTGCCTGGGCTGTCAGAGATGGTCTCCTCTTGCCAGAGCTGTAGCACAAGGTGTGTATGCACTGGGCTGGAGGGCTCTGAAATGGTGTTTCAGGGCAAAACCACCCACCCCCGGGTGCCAAATCCAGCACAGAAAACCCTCCTTCCCACCAGCCCCACTCCTGCCGTCGGCCTCCTGTTGAATCAAGGGGTCAAATTTAATTTCCAAGCATTCCTGATGAACAGTCTGAGAACACGGGAACCTCCACAGCTCGTGACAAGCTGGAAGCAGTGCTGGGCACACCAGCTGCTCTGCCAGAGCACCGGGATGGCAAAGCTCCCCTGTGCAACACGACAGCTTCAGAGAGCCAGTCCCTGGCTGTGCAAACTGCTTTCAGAATCAATTACCCATCTCAGCCCCTTCTGGGCAAGATGCAACATCCCCCTTGTTTGTTTGGGTTGTTGGGTTGGGTTTGGTTTTGTTTTTTTCCTGCCACCCTGCCAAAAAAAAGAAGAAGGCAGAGAAAGGCCTGGGTGCCAGGTTAGCAGGAAAGTGCTGAGGGGGCTCGTGGCTCTGGGTGGAGAGCAAACCTACCCCTGTGCAGGGAAAGCTGGGAGCAGGGTGCTCAGCTGCTGCCAAGGGGCTGAGCAAAGATAAAGGCTGAGGAACTGTGCAAAACCAGGCAGACACAGGCTGGGAGCTGAGAGGGGACAAGGGGTGCTGCAGCCAGCATGGCCACAGGACACTGCAGAAGGCACAGGAGCCATGAGGAGGAGAAAGAATATGATAAGAAACTCTAGGAAGATTATGGCCAAGTGTCTGAAGGTGTTTTCAGGAGAAGCTGTGAGGCATGGTGCAGGACTGCAGCTCCCCAGACCTATTTTTAGATGCCAGAACCGAAATGAGATGAATTACCAAGAGGTCTCTGCTGCCTGTGAGGGAAGCAGCTCCTACACATCAACCCACACCCCCTGGTGCTCCCACCTGCCTGCCCGTGTGTGAACCTCAGGGGTGAAAAGACTGGAGCTTGGGCAAAAGGCTTGATATTTGAAGGAGCACCCGTGTCACCTCCCAGACCTTCAGCCCTGTGACAGCTCTAGCATCCCTGTTCTCTCTGCCTTCTCCCCTGCTCCCAGAGCCAGTGCTGGGAGCACGTTTGGAGGGTACAGGTGAAGAGCTGGCACTGAGGAACAGCCTGGAGCCTCTGCCCGTGGGTGTGGGGGGAGGAGGCTCCATCCCAGGCTGCTCCTGGGACGCGTTCGTTTGGACTTAGAAACATCCCCTGCCGCGGCAAAAAACCCCAACTCCCTATTTCCCAGATTTCCAAGGCAAACCCAGCTCAGGCCGTGGCTGCTGGGGTAGCAGCAGTGCGGGAAGAGCTGCCAGGCAGGGCAGGGTGCGGGCACAGCCCGGGCTGCACCGCCCGCCGTGCGAGGGAAACATTTGAAGGCTTCTTTAATTATTAACCGTTTATGCTTTGTTTTCCCCTCTCCACTTGAGAGCAGCAGCTCTTGGGAGGCTGGAGAGCAGCTCCAGGGAGCGGCAGCCCTGCCGGGACCGGCACCAGCCCTACCCACCCGCGGCTGGTCCCCCTACCACGAATGGGGAAGACGGGGGGGG